TTGTTTTTTTCTTCTTCCAATCAAACTTTTTCCTTTTCTATCTCCATCTAACCGTTACCATGGATACAGAAGAGGAATAAAGCCCCTGGGGAAATAAAGATTTTAATTTAGCTTAATATGGGTAAAAAATTTTAAAAAGAGCCAAATTTACTTTAATCTGAAATCTACCACCTTTAAAGTATCATTTTTATTTTTCGTATTATTTTTTTTTTGCTGTGTAAAAAAGTGACATTGCTACAAATACTTTTTTTTTAAATACCTCCTTATTGTTTGTTTAATCTTTATTTTACAATTAAGAGTCCCATTAAATAAAAAACATTCTCTTTTTCAATGGAGTCCTGTCCAATAGACAGCAAAAATTACATTGGAATTACACAATTAACATTAATTAAAAATACTTATAATTTATTGAGGCTTTTCCAAGCCCTCCATGGTGGACTTTTTAAATGAATTATAAATTGAATTCATTTCCAATGTTTTTTAAGAAGGGGGCGCTGTGTGAATGTCATCCTTAACCAGTCAATCACTATAGAGTGGGGACTATATAGTGGACATAATAGTGCACTATACAGGAAACCACTACTTTAAATCCTTGTTGGTCACTTGACTCCAGCTTCCCACGCGCTGCCTGCACCATCTTTAGTCTTTCTAACCCCCAAAACAAATCCCAGGATGCTTTGCAGGGAGAGTTCTTGCAAATCATTCTGGGATATATCAGCTTGTCTCGTGAGTATGGATGTACACTGCTTTTCAAGGTGCATTGTGGGAAATATTGAATCCACTAATTTTTCACCCACTAAACACTTCGACACTCATAGAAAATGGCAAAACCCCTACAAAGTGCTCTATATAGAGCTAAAGGCCTGGATCTCCTCCTGCAGCAGTGTGTTGCAGTGAGTTTGTTGCAGATATTTTTGATTTATGCCCAATATAGAAGCGTGGTCTGCACTATGTTGTTCCACGCCACAATGCCAGAGGGCCAATCAGGAACTAGCTGTGGGTCTAGATATGGCCGAGGCGGTGAGGAAGTGGGGGCAAGTTTGTGCAATGGAGGGGCATGAGGTCCAAAAAGAGCGGGGATCCAGGTGGAAAAAGGGTCCCAGCGTTCTCGCTCTTCTAAATGGTCCATCTTCATGAGTCGTTTTCCACAATGGCGGTCAGACAGACAAAACAAGCCGCTAAGGAACCAAACAGGAAATACGCAGGACTCAATGCTCATTTGTGATCAAATAACAGATGAATCTGGATGTAGCTGGGGCTGAATTCTTCCTGAGGTCCACAACCATCTCCAGTGTTTTTAGAGCATTCAGCTCCAGGTTGTTCTCCCTGCACCGGGTCGCCAGATGGTCAACCTCCCACCTGTAGGGAGACTGGTCACCATCAGAGATAATTACGAATGG